CGCATTTCCAAATAATGAAAGCGCATATTATGAGTACTCATTGTAAAGAACTCAAATGCGGAGAAACCTATCTATTTTTTCGAGTGGAGGAGGAAACAGAAGCTCTGGACGTCAGCCATTCAAAAATTTTGTGCATTAATCCCTTAGAGCGCCTTCCCCTGAGGATCAAGACTACGAACCTCATCTCCATCGGCTGAGCAAAACATCATCCAATGAATCGGAAGATGATGAAGATTCCGACGAGCTCGAAACCGATTTTTCTGTTCAAGGATTCATCCAGAAAAAACAGACGCAAAGACTACTCCTGCCCCTTCTTCGAGTAAACCATGCAAGTGTGAGTTCTACGGGGACGCATTTGGTCGGCTTGAAAGTCTCAGGAGGCACTTCGAAAAAGTCCATCAAGTCAACAAGAAAATCCTGACAGTGATTCAAAGATGCCACCTGATGACACACAATGAGAACTCAAAGAAAAATTTTTGTACAGAGTGCACCCGTATGTTTGACCAGAAGTTCAGACAAAATCAAACAGTCAGACGGGTCTTATCAGCATCCCCACCAACCTAATTGGATGGTCATCACAAGTGTCTTGCAGTTGCCACAACAAATACTTCGACAGGTCGTCTCCAACGAAGAAGAAGCGGACGAACGGTTCCTGACAAAAAGAACCTTCAATTTCAAACCCATTTTGAATAAATACCAGGCAATGAAGGAGAAGGAGATAGCCCGCGGAAGCAAGTCGAACATCAACAGAACCAATATTAAAGGAAAAAAGGAGAAGTTGAGAAAAATGGTTATAGTCACTAAAGGGATGACGGTGCCCCGTAAGCTTTCCGATTGGATACATATGTACCCAAAAGTTTCCGCATCAAAATCAATTCGGAACATGTTGAATGAGTTGGATACCTTCATCGACACTTTTTTGGAGAGTGAAATTGGTTCTTTTCAACAAAAAGTTGACATCTCAGCATTCGAAGGCCAGATAAAATTGCTGCGGACAAATGAAAGTCGGGCAGGAAGAAGCCGTAAGCAATTGTTGAAGACCACTGCGGCAAACTCACTGCCAAACCCCAAGAAATTGACGCCCTCAGGAAGCGCATTATCGAGTACTTGGAGAAAAAGTTCCAGGAAAACCTCCAGGGAATTCGACCTGATGAGTTCAGGACCTTGACGTACAACCTGATGGCACTAATATTTTTCAGGAACTCTTCCAGATGTGGAACAATTAGTCTATTCAGAACAGAATTCTTGGAAAGTGGACATGTCGATGAAGACCTGAAACTGCTTGCAATCGAACTGGCTCCAAAAGAGTTACACGAGATGAGAAAGGGACCAGGAGAGCGAAAACGCATTCGGGAAATGCAGAAAATTCTGGAACGGACACATAAGAATTTTTGGTGCGAGGGAGTAAAAGTTCAAGTAATCACAGAGAAGGAAAGGCAACTGATCGATGAGTGTGCTCTACTGCGAACCAAGCTACGAGTAGAGCACACATACTTATTTGCTCCCATGAAAGTTCATGAGAAATTTGACTACCATGATCAGACGAACTATGGCAAAAATTGGTCACATAGTTTACCCAAACAGCATGGACTCTCTCACTTAAAATTCAATACTACATTGCTCAGGAAACTAACGGCTTCCATTTGGAAAGAAAATATCCCTAGCACTCTGCATCGCGAAGCCCTTAACCAACATACCGGGCATACAGAAGCCACAGCCTTCAATTATTACGAAGTGTCGATCAGCAAGAAAAGGAACGCTGCGCTCACCAGCCATTATACGGATCTTGTGTACAGCCAAGGAAATTTGAGGGATAATGTGCTTACCCTAGAAAGTAAATCTGAACAACAGGATGACAGAGTTGACATCGACAATAATGCCGCACAACAAGATAACACGAATACAGATGAATACGAAAGTGAGGAGCTTGTGTACGAAACTGAGGACGAAGATGAAACTCAAGAAAGTGAAGGAAAAAACGAAGGAAAAAGCGAGAATGAGAGCGAATCTGATGACTCGCAGCAGATATACAACAGCGATGACGAGGAAAAAAAAAGAGTGTTAGGAGAGTGAGCACTTTTCCGAAAGCAAATCCGGTAACATTTGTGAAGAGCAGTACCGGAACCACGATTGTAAACAGCGCTTCTCTAGACCCCAAGGTGATTGCAACCATGATTCAAAACCGAGATCAAAGGAAGGGTCGCCAAAAATACGTTTTGCGACCGGAGGATTGCCATGAACTAACCAATTTGTATATACTGTTCGTTCAAGGAATATCAAACTTTTCGGCGCTCTACTGATCGAAAGCTCTGCCGCTAAACATGGACGCCGCCAAATCTATCTTCAAACAAATTACAAAAATGAGGACGGAGTATCTACAGGGAATTCAATCCTCTTCAAAATGAGATTTGATCGGTCAACCCAGGCTGAACAAACTAAAAAAACTATATTTTTTGCTTTTTATATTAGCTGTTATTTTTATAATCAGGTTCGAACCTTGGACATCACCTGAAAAAGTGTAGTGAAATGATTTTTTTTTGTACTGGAACCAAACTAATAGTTCCAACTTATTGTTTATATTTTATAAAGTGAAAAAGGTGAAAGCTTAGGCTTCAAAAAAAAAGAAAAAAAAAGAAAAAATGAGAACTTCAAGCTCTAAAAAAAGAGAGAGCTTTCTCAAAAAAAAACTTTGGGATCGATAGTGTCCGCCTCCTCGTCGGCGATCCTGGATATACTCCCAAATAAAATGGATGAGCTGAGAGACACTTGAGTTTAGCTATAAAGAAATTAGATAGAGGTTTTCTGTTCTAGACGCTTTTTTTCTGATTTTTTAAATTGAATGTCTTATTATTGTATAGTGAGTACAAAAAGCTTGAATAGAGGTTTCGAATGAGCCAACGCCTAGAGGAAAATTTTTCGTTTACTTTCCTTGAGGAAATTGATTTTGAGCCAAAGCAGAACTTTGGGTTTGGGCGTTTTTGATTTTTTTTCGTTCAGTTTTCAGATTCTCAATAAATTTTGATCAAGTTTTGCTGAACTTTTGCATACAGGCTCACAATAGTCTTTGCTTTGTGCCCTTAATACTTTGAAGTCAGAAAAACAAGAAATTGGTTCCTAATTAAATCTGAAAAACCGAATTACACCTTTTTCGTTTAGGTTTTGGCCGAAAAATCAAAAACTACTCTTGGGTTAAACCTTTGCATAAAAACGTTGGAACAAACATTAGCAGTGGTTGCCAGAAAAGTTAAAAAACGCCCAAAACTAAATTTTAAAAATGTGTTCCATGCCGACAAAAAAGTCTCTTAAATTGACTTTTGCCCAAACCCAACAGTTTCTAACCGTTTTTTCTGAAGTTTTTTTTTGTTTGAGTGTCTTCTTATTGCCTCTTGAATATAAAGTATCTGAATCAAGATTTCCAATGAGCCTACATTATCTTACTTCGTCTGGTTTTTCATTGAGAAAATTGATTTTGAGCCAAAGCAGAAGTTTGGGTTTGGGGTATTTTTTGATTTTTTTTCGCTCAGTTTTCAGCATCTCATCAAAAAACGATCGATCCAGTTTTGCTGATTTATCGCATACAGGCTCACAAAAGTCTTGGATTTGTGCTCTAAGCTCGCTAAAGTAAAAAAAAATGTTTTATTTTTCAAAAAAGTGCACATTCATGCAGTCAAACCTCAAAAAATAAGCAAACTATTAATTTTTCGATGATTTTACTAAATTGTATAAATTTGTTGGGTTATTTGAGTTATTTTGAAAATTTTGGCTCCTATTTAAATACTTTGGGACTAAATCAGGATTCAAATTTTTTTAAAAAAATTTTTGGATTTTTTGTAGGTTTGGCATTTTTTTTCTGTTTTTTTTTTCGGTTAATGGGTTTTTTGTTTAATTAGATGTTTCCAAAAGATATATTTGAGGTTTATACTTAATTTATGGTGTTTCACTGCTTTTTTGGTAGTTTTCTGGTAAAAGTACCACTCTCCAGTAATTTCTCGCCCTTTTCCAGCATTTTGCCACCCTGATCAAATTTTGTAAAAACTTCAACTTTTTTTTAGCCCCAAAACCCAACTCCTAAACCCAAGATCAATTTCTGAATCAACTTCTGAGGAAGAAAATATGCGATCAATTTCTGAGATCAGAAAATGAGTAGGAAAAATTTTGGCTCAAGTCATTTTCTGAAAATCTCCCTACTCAAAAATTGATCTGGCTAGGACCACTTCCGGGAAAGGTTATTGATTGCCCCTATGGATCTCGAGGGGTCCCGTTTTTGCATATTCGGGTCATATTATTTCTAATATCTCTACATAACATGGGTCCTAGGTAATCTCAATTTGGGGGGGGGGTCGGCGATTCTGTTCCACCCATATTTCTGGCATCGGAGTGGCTAATTCTTCCAAACTTGATACAGTTTAAGCGTGAATCATTGTTTAATTATCTACTTATCTTATCGAATAGCCATCCGCACGTACTTGCATTTCGATTCGTAAAAATGTGCGCAAACCGATCAAAAATTAAAGCTGAAATATTCTGACTATACAAAAATTGTAGCTTTTCATGAAGCCGGGTTTGAAGTGCGTCGGGCCATCCTCCGTGATTTAATTCAAACCGGAGTAAGACGTTCATGCGTAAGACGTTTAATTGCTAGATAAAATGCCGAAACATGATACAATTGCGAATATCGCAATATAAGCATTTTTATAAGCAATTGTAGCCAACCGAATTGTTGAACTTTTCGTGACTTACGTTTTAATCGCAAAAAAAATCAAGATTCAAAAATGTATGCCATTGTGCAAAAGTAGCAACATCTACGCAAACGGACTCAAGTCTGTTTGCCGGCTCTTACTCAGAGACCATGTATACAGCGCCTACTTTTCTTAACCTAATAAATGGGCTAGTATAATTAATGGGCTAGCTAAAAGCAAAAGGCTGTTAGAAACTAACCGCTTCAACCTTTTAAAATATTCAATTTTTTTTTTTAATTTTCAAATTATCTATGAGTGATTCAAATAGACGTTAAATTATTATTTAGATAAAGCAGCCACTTTGTATTTCTCTTTAACTAACCTTGTAAACTAAATTAATTGAAAAATGATCAAAAGTTATCCGCCTTGAAAAGTTATTCGAATGTTTTGTCTAAACTAAATATTCTCCAATTTATCAAACGACATTCGGTTTGTCCAGGGGTGTTAGGGTGAAGTCGAAGTCATCCAAGTTTTCCTCATCAGTTGTAGTTTGATTGACATCTCCTCGATCGCCTGATCCGATAGTTGCATTTGATTGGCTACTATTCCGATTAGCCCAAGTCGCCGCAAGCAGCCCTTGGCGATACTCGTTCGTCGGAAGAGAAACCGACGTGGTCTGGTTTTGATTCTGATACTGGTTCGTGTTTATTTCATCGTCCACAGTTTGAAAAGATTCCGAGGCTATTATGCATTTAGAGGCAGCATTTTGGTGAAATCTGTCGTGTAGTTTCAACACTGTAGCAGACATTTCAAGGCTTAGAACATTCGTCTCGTTCAGATTAACATCTGATTGTGAGTTAAGCATACCGGGACCAGATCGATTCTGATTGGTCAACGAAGCAGCCATTGAGAGCACAGACCGCTCTGTAATGACATGGTTCCCCGACTCAAAATTCGATGTTTGGGAGATATACACACTAGCCGAGGAATCCGAGGTCATGTTCACTTGATGAAGTGGTCCAATTTTACCCGCGATTCCTGGGCCTTTGAGAGGTAGATTAGTCTGGGCGCCTTGAGACGAAAAATTGGAATCTCTGCGTTGTGATAACGCAACACTTTCAAGCATGCTTTCCTTGATCGCAGGCGGTATCGACAAAGGCTGCATGAAGAGGGACGAGTTTTGCATGGAGTGTAGGAACCCACTGTTCTCTATGTTTCTTACACTTATCATCATACTCGCGTCTTTTCTAACTTGTCCTTTCAAGTTCGTTAAAAACACTTCCGAGGCCTGACTCGGGCGCCAATTTGGATTCGTGAGTGCAAAATTGACCAATGACAATTCAGTCTTGCCGTCCTCCGACTGCATAGCCTGAGAAGGTCCCACTCGTATCGACTCTTTCGGCATGTCTTCTTCTTCTTCTTCTTCGTCGTGTTCATTCGGCATGACGTCATCTTTGTCTAGCCAGTGCGGGTTGCCGTGTTTGTTCACGTCTAACTGTGCGAATGAACAAACATCCCCGACTCCTGCGACGTCAATGCTGAAGTTCCTCAAGAAGTCCACAATTTCGAGGGCCTTCGGTCGCAGTGCAAACAGCAGAATCAGAGGTGTCACAATTGGACTGACGAGTTCTTCGATAAAAAACACAAGTTTCAGTTGGAAAAACTTCGAAAATTCATCTCTAACATCAGACGTGTGGGCCTTCCCTCGCCATGTTGCCGGCATATAATGTATATGCGCCAATACACTCTTCAGTAAAAGCTCAGGACAAAATATAAAATTCTCGTCCGGGATAAAAACACGAGAAATAGCGGTTACGATTCCCGTAGCAGTTAGTAATGTAATAACATTATCCACTTGTAAAACATCCTCGTCAATAATCGCGAGTAAAATCACCACAGCGCATATGGATCCAGCGAAAAAGGCAACATTGTGTGCTATGATGGAAGCAAAAGTAGAGACAAAACAGTTCAGATACATGGTCGCAGGCTTGTATGCTCTAGCCAAGCGTGCATTAAACTCGTGCTCTAACTCATTGTAATGCCTTAAGTAAAGACGACTGTAAAGAGACCATTTTCGCATTCCGAGACTCGATGGATCTCTTTTGATCAGATCGGCGTAGCTGAAAAATGAGAGTAAAAGCTGATAGAAAAATATAACAGGCGACAGTATCAAATTAATCAAGCCCGCCAGAAGAATGCGTTTGGACATTTCTTTGGCCAATTGGACCCTCGCTACCTTCCGCTTGTACACGTCTTTCAAACTCCAGTTGTTCGAAAAAGGCGCCCCTGGACCCCAGAATAAAATTAGCCCAAAGTTCAGTTTCAAACTCTGACTCATAAATGTGTACTGTCCAAAACATGGGATGTCAAATTTAACAGGCAGAATATCCTTATTGACCATAGCAATTTCGTAATTTTTGAACCTCAAAATTCTCGAGTAAATATCAAGAGATGTTAATTCACGTTTGTGTATACACATTTGCTGATCACATTGAACCCTTTTAAGTTGATCCAGAATATCGAACCAGGTGAAATTAGCGAGCTCTTTAGTCGGAATAGCCAAAGCTGTTTCGTAGAACTGTCTCGTTTCCCAGAATCGTGAGAGAACCACCATCGCTCGAGATAGTCTGAACAGCCAAAAGGCAACCGCAAGAAGTAGCAAAGTATGCATAAATGTCGACCCCTTCATTAGACATTGATCCAAAGGGTAGACAACGTCTGCGATCTTAACCCGCTGCGGCCAGTCAAACACTACAGTTTTGTCTTTAGTTGTGTAGTCCGAGATATTAAGATGCACATGATCAGCGTAGTTGAAAAGCTTCGGGTAATCAATACATTGGGCTAGCAAAGTAGAAAGAAAGACGACAAAGGCGAATTGAACAAGCGAGAAGAACTCGGAGGTAGCGATGCATATGAAGCCGTTGCGTTGATGATACAAATAAATTCTTCTGAAAAAGTCGTCTAGATTCTCAATGTGATGCCATGTTTTGGATACTTCAGCAAAATAGGTCATGTGAATGTCGTCGAATCCCAGATTTCCTTGCGGAACACCATTCGTCTCGTCTTCCGGGAATTCCTCCAGGCGTGAATACTTCGAGTTCTTTTCGCGCATATTGAATGGCTTTTGTAATGACTTCTTTAATGTCGATTGAAAAAAAAGCGAGGAAAAAATTTTTGTAATCAAAGACAATATGAATAGTTCAATGAGGGTCTTGTCAATCTCAAACGTTCTTTGTGTTTAATTCCTCTTTCCGAAGTCTAATCGAGAAACAGGTAATTTAAAAGAGCGCTATTGGTTGTTCATAGTCAGAATAGAATGATAGAGGACGTTTAAATCAGACCTGCTGCGCATTCAATCATTGTCGAATACTAGTTAAGTTATTAGATCATGATCATCTATAAAATTTGAACATATTTGATTTTAAAACTACTTGAAACATTTCAACCTCATAGTCAAATAATCCTGTTCTGATGTATTTATTCTTACTCTTGGCAGTTCTTAGATATCCTATGAACTAGGGCTAACAGAAATATTACCAAAATAGGTTGATTAATATATCATATTGAAGCCCTTGTAATCCTACACCGGTTGACATTTAAAAAATTTCAAAAAAAAACAAGAAAAACTTATTGGAAATGTTTGTTTTTTAAGACTAACTTCGATCTATTGTATAAGCATTATAGTCGCTATAGAAGCACCAAAAAATTACTTCAGTCGTTAAAAACTAGTTTTTGTAGCTTTAGTGATTTCTAGCCAAAAAAAATGCTGCAAAGAAAAATGCTAAATTTGAACTGTTTTTTTTTACTGAATCTTTGACCTCTGAGTGAGGCGAATATCACAGACACGCAAACTAATGCTCCTGATCTTTGGTATTTGGACCACACGCCTGTAGTAAGAAGTACTTCAAAAGGGCCAATCACAGTATTGAGCCCACTCAACGAAGACAAGGACACGAACCTTCGATGGTGGCCCAAATGAGTATCCAATTGCATTTAGCTATTTCGTAAGCTGTAAGAACTCCTGAAGAAGGATTAAAAGAAGAAATTTATGCTGAAGTGACAAAAGATCTTGAATTCACTAAAGTTGAAAACAATCTTATGGTAAAGTGCGAGACAAAAAAGTTGGAAACATATAACAAAAAAAAACATTAATCTTTTTCGGGCTGAATGAGGATGAAAACATTATAGACACGGAAGATGGACAAATGAAAAGCCGGAAGAGACTTTACAGAAAGTGCTGCAACTATCAAAACCTGTTAATGCCTGTTTGGACGAGAAAGACTTTTCCATCGCACATCGGTTAACAGCTAGAAATGGATCTACCAGACCGATTATTGTCAAATTTTCCAGATGAGTTGCAAAGGTGGATATTATGCAAAAAAAAATAAAGAACTAGCGAAATTGGTTGATTTCAAAATGTTATATTAAATGAAGATATTAGCCCAGCCCGAGCCATGTTTGTCAGGATGCTGAAAAGAGATCATCGTAACCTTAATTAATGGACAAAAGATGGAAATAATTGTTACATATATCACAATGACCCAAGTATTTAGAACATCTCAAACCTTTATGATGGAGGCACTGACCTTAGTTAAAACATAAATGATGTGAAAAAATGTTTCCGTAGGTAAAATTTCCTCGATGAATGGTGCTTCTTAATGCGTCGCAAACCCCTCCAGAAATGATAAACTGTTTAATAAGCGTTTGAAAAGAAGATCACTGAAACTACACACTGAAAATAATTGGAAGCACTAACACTAAGTCTTGAGTCTCCGCCAGATATTTTATGGACTACTAAAAGATGGCTAACAGAAAACGACAAAAGTGAAAGCTGGCTAGTTAGTGGCTATAATCCATTTTACACCAAAAATAGAAAAACACATGGCGGGGGTGTCATGATTTAAACAAGAAACACTTGCTGTATGCTGAATCAGATAATGCCCTTTGATGAAGGTATACATGCTGAAATATTTTTAAAAAATGATTCAAATTCATTGTTCGTATTGTAAAATGTCCTCCGTCGAAAAATTGGATCAGTTTCTAGATGACAGAATATCCCTAACAGACCATTAATTTAGTTGGCAATTTCAGTATTGGTACTATACAAAACAACTTACCTTTTCAAAATTAAAAAAAAAACATATCCTCAAGTGGTTTTCAGATAATTAGTAACGAAGCAACACGTGTAACAGAAAAAAAATACAGATTTTGCTAGGATAATTTCAAATATAAAAATAATTCTATAGCTGTTTCGAAATTAATCAATTACGAAAATATAACCGAACATTATCCTGTTAGTTTAAAATGGAATATCAGAAACGAGATATACCACGATGAAATTTGGTTTACAAATAGACTCAATAACTTAAGAAATCAGCAAAATGTAGACAGAAATTGAAAAAAAAGTCAAAAAGTGCCAGCTCTTTTTTCAATGAGTTCAAAGTTTTAAACGCTCAATTTAAAAAAGAAATTAAGCAAATAAAGAAGAACTATTTTTTGGAATGAGTTAAAATGTATCGGAGACTCAAGGCAAAATTACAATTTAGTAAAGGATATCAGTGGCAAAAATATCAAGTCTAGCAAAAACTCAGCAATAAAATCTATCTTACGTATGTGAAAATCCTATGGGTGCCGATATAGCCAAAAACTTTAAAACTTTGTAACAATAGTAGGGAGAACCATTTGAAAAATGGCATTCCTAACGCTGCTTGTCCAACTCTTCATTATACTTTTTCTCAAAGTATCTTAATAAAGTAAACACATTTGAATATTTGTAAACACATTTGAATCATTATAGAAAGGTTTTAGATAACAAATATTCTTCAAGTGACGATTACATAAAAAATGTAATAGTTAAGAAATTCCTCTAAGATAGTGGCTCCCTGTCTAGGCTTTATTAGTAACCTTTCTTTCATGAAAGCCCTGTTTCCGAACGAGCGTTGCAAAGCAAAGATTTTTCATTTAGATAAAGAAGGATAAAAAAAATGAACACTTATCGACCAATCTCTCTTCTTATTGTTTGTAACAAAGTATATGAACGAGCGATTAACAATCGCTTTTAATCCTACCTTGAAAAATTTTCACTGCTGTTTTCAAAAAAAATATGGTTTCCATATTGAGCATAGCGCAATTGACACATTAGAAGAATTAACTGAAAGAATGAGACAAGCGCAACCCTCAGATGTAATTTAAAGCTTATATTTGGATTTGAAAAAAAAGCTTTCGATACGATTGATCACGACATACTATTATAAAAACTTAAAAATATGGTTTTCGCAATATTTGTTGAAACTGGTTCAAAGCAAACCTTAGTAATCGCATACAGCGTGTAGAATTTAATGTGTTAGTTCTGATTGGCAAAAAATCGAATGCTGTGTTCCACAACGATCAATCCTGGGACCTTTATTATTATCATTTACATGAATGATCTGCCTTTGGCATGCAAGTCTGCGGATGTAATCCATTTCGCATACGATACAAAATTAACCGCAACCCGCAACAGCTTCCAGAGTTTAAAATGTGACCACAGATCTGATTAGTTTGAACAATTGGTTAAACGCAAATAAATTTGCAGTCGCATTATCTATTCCGATTGTAATTTAAAATTGAATTTGGACAATACAACTATTAAACCAGTCTGCAAGTATCTATGCATTTTAATTGACAGTAAACTATCGTTTGTCAGCCACATTAATTTTGTTAAATAGAGACTAGGAAAACAAGGTGGCATAGTATCGAAGTTCGGACACTATGTACCAAATATGATGTGACTACTAATGTGATAATATTGTCCTTATTCTGCAATATGACTTTCTAATTTATGGTTGCTGCTTTCACTGTTTTAAACCAAGTTTTCATAATACAAAAAACATTGAAATTTATTTTTTGAAGAAAACGGCAGGATCACTGTCATGAAATTTTTGAAAAAATTATTGATTGTTTATGAATACGATTAGGATCTTCTGAAATTTTTACTAAAATCAGTAAACAAATTACATTTCGGTTCTTTTTTGAACGAATTGTCTCCAGCTCAAAACTCAGTCAAAGCTAAAAAGGAGGGCTAATGTTAATTTGCTTTCAAAAACTGTTTGCTAAAAAATCGATTGAACCTCGATAATTGAAAGAAAATGGAAAGAAAAATCGAATTTGTGAAACTATTCAAGCGTATTTTTCGTAAAGCTATCTTGTTAAAAATTATAGAAAACTTCAGATCTCGGAAACGAAAATGTTTTGAGCAGTCATATTTGGATGCAAGATGTGCGACCCCTGAGAGTACGCTCATAAAATGCGACTATAGGTTTCGGAATTTCAAATTTTGTCAAGTGTTCTAAAAAATATTTTCAAAAAAAGACATAAAAAACGTCATATCTCGGAAACTAAACACATTTGGTTGTCTTTGCTACAATTATACATAGTGTGATTAGAAAAGTTAGGGCACTACCCAGCGACTACAACGTCCATTTAGTTTCTCCTCTGGTCAACGATATTGTAAATGTATAAAACTCTGATGGCATATTTTTGAATCAGAGAAATAAAATTCTTTCCTCTCTTCTTCTTCCATTTGGTTTTTCAAAGAAAAAACGAATCAAAATTTTGACAAAGATAATCAGCAAGAGCAGAACTCAGCCTCTTACTATCATTTTAAACACTGATATGTTTCTCAAAAGCCTTATAGCATAAGGAGTCCGAAAAAGAAAAAAACCAAAAGAGCAAACAACCAATAATTTCGAAATTGAAAACTACTCGATTTAAATTGTAAATTGCAAACTTAATTTGACCAGTATAAGTTTTTATTAATTGGAAAAGGAAGGAAAGAATTTATTTCCTCAATTGTAGAATTATGAAAGATATGCAAACAATATCAAATTGATATTGTTTGCATATCTCGAAGAAATACTCATCACAACTGTTTACAAAGAACAAATGCTGCGTAACTCATAAATGGATCAACTAAATTAACCTTGCTCGGCTTTTTTGGACTCGGCTTATTGCCATCCTCAGGGAACGAGTATGAATTACGGCAGCTCTCAAAATATCGATAGAAGACATTAGGCAAAGGGGAAGGGGGGAGGGTGCGGATTTTCGAAAAAATTTCGAAATTTCGTCGACCTTTTTTTCAGGTGGACATAAATGGTTTTCCGATTCTCCTGAAGCACTAAAAAGTCGCTGTTTTGGCGAAATTTTCTGCGCCACAGGCAAAATTTCGAAAAACAAAACAGACAAAAAAAGGCTTTGTTGGGCACTTTGTGGAAACTTTCGGCCAAAAATTGGGTTTTTTTTGGCGCCCCTCCCCCTAAAAATTAGTATATATTGGCGCCAAAGGCGCCTGTAGAAAAACTTCAGTGTCCGTCACCAAACATGGATATCTCAAAATAGTACAAAGGGGGACACTTTGGGTCGGCAGAGGGTCGAATCCCTAGAATATATTGATATAGCTAAAAAAAAACCTGACTTGGGTAGGAAAAATTATTCTAATAAGACACTACGCTCCGCTTATAACAACATAGCGTACAAGCGTAAAAAAACAGCTAATCCAAGTTTGACTGACTAATACTATGGACACTAAGATTTTTTAATCACTGTTTAGGTGATGTTAAATTTAAATTGCTTATATGAAAATATAGAACAATGAATTTCTATAGTAAACTAACTAGAACTTAAGCATGCCAGCATGCAAATTAAAAATAAACAAACAACGACAATTTGATAGCTTGAATCAATTCTACGAAAGTTTCTGAGTCTTAATTATTCCATAAGTTTGTACAATAGCAATCGGAAATAAATCACAGTTAAATAAGTAAATTTCAAAAAAAAAGAAGCTCAGAAGTCTAAATCTAAATCATATTGCACATTATTCAGCATTCAGAAGTAATGGTAGAAAAAGAGTTCGGATAGATAAATTTAATTTGCAACGCCTACTTTGAAACTTTTTCATAGAAAAGCTAATTCATTAGCAAAAATATATACTTTCAGGGGGGCTCGAAACTCAAATTTGCCTGCAAACTTTCTTTTAAATCAACATATAGCTCTTTAATTTACTGTCTCTTCAAACTTTTTGCTTTTTATTACATTTCAATAAGAATTCAACTCCTCAAAAGAATAACAGTCCGGCGAAATAGCACATGCAGACATTTAAAACTAATTCTAATTTATACCTGTTTACAGTTTGATACCATGTAAATTTTTATGAAAAACTTAACACGCAGCCGTTTCAAATAGTTTCATTGGCAGTAGCTTACAATGAATATTGCACTTTAAAATTGCATGCATTACTTTTTATAGACAAATAAAACTTATTTCATCCAAGATATAATTTCATCCGAACAAAGAACAGGTTAGACTTCTGAAGCTTGGCTTTTGGTCGGGAAATCTGAATTGATCGTTATTTTCGGAATGCTCTGGACTCTAGCCGTCGATTTTTTTGTCTTCTTACTATTGCCACTTCTATCTCTTATATTACCACTAACCGTTTTCTGGACTACTTTCGGGTGATGCACTGGTCCATGGTTCGGTTTCGAGCCCTTCCTCAAATTCTTCGCCCGGAAAAATTTGTCCGAATTTCTCAAAACGTAAAAACTTTTCCAGATCTGGATCCACTGTTTTCTTGCATCCAGTGGCGCAACACAGTGTACAATGAATACGTACACTCCTTGGCCAGCAATCGACAAGATGTAAAGAATTTGACAAAACAGTTCGAACGGGGACGAAATCGCAGGTCCTTCCGACGAAAAGTTCACCACACTGAATGCAGAAGTTAGCCAGGACATGACTAACAAGACGAAGAGTCCGAAACATGCTTTGATCTCATCCCACGCACACTTTCTCTGCTCAAATTTCACCTCAAACTGGCTGCAATTGTTGAGATAAAAATTCGCAGCTATTCCGTAGATGATCAAATTTAGCCCAAATGCGATACTTATTGGCAACAGAAACAAGTAAAATTGGGTGAACTCTGGAAACGTGCAAATCCAGTCACATCCAGAAACATAACCGTTGAACAGCTCTGGTCGCGATGCAACTGGAATGAAAACGATAGCCGCCGGAACCCCCAGCCCGACTACCAGAGCCTTTCGCATGAACCTGCTTTGGTATGTGTCGGGGATGATTACGATGGCCGAGTAGAGATAGAAAGCTTCGATGCTGCTCCAAGTCAAAGTGACAAGAGTCAAGTAGACTCTCATAACTAGGGCAAACTGACACCCCATAGACGTGGACACGAATGGAATAGTTATACACATTGTCATTATGTAAAGAGTTGCGCACGTGCACAGGGCAAGCAAAATTTTGATTTTGGTCGAGTTTCGCTCCGTTCTTAATTTTGGAAACAAACCGTAGGTTGCCAACGTTGCCAGAAAACTTGTTAATGATATTATGTATGCTAAAACACTAGCAGAACGTAAAATCGGGTAAAACGAGTGTTTAACAGTGTTGAATTTAGCAAACTTTTTTCGAGTTTTGTGCAACTTAAGTGCATCTGTTTTAATCTGACTGGCCAAATGGTCCCGGAACTGTTTTAGCGAACTATGTTTTCTTCTAGTATCTGGCGAAGTTTTCTGTACTTCGTTTTCATTTCTGGTTCCCGAAAGAACAGCAAATGATTCTGTATTTGTGCCTGAAATGTTAAAACTGCAAGTATAGTCTTCTACAGACGATTCGAGGAGCACTTTATCAACAGAGTCGTACAGAGTGAACAAATAGCAAGCTTCGGCGTTTTCGTTCACTGAAAACTGAAGAACACTTTTGACATCGTCTTCGTCGATAGTCACAATAGATATTTCTGAAATATCTATTCCATTCAGAGTCGAATTCTCAGCAGGAAGGTCCAACAACTCAATGAAGTCACTCAAAGACACTTCAATATCGGAAGTTATCGAGTTACATTGTGAAGCATTACTGCACGACATTGTGTTACTATCAATTGTGCAACAACTGTGACGTGCAGCATTGCTGTCTGTATCGTAGCATGGACTTTCCGAGAGTTCGGATAGCGAGAAAAGAAGGCTCATGTATTGTTCGCTATTGTATTTCATATTGGCACAAAACATTCCGATCCATTCAAGAATTTCAAGTGAAACATTTGCGGCCAGTTGACAAACAACTTCGTCTGTATTAATGTGCTTCCCAGTTTCGTTTGAGGCGCTATCGAAAAGTTCGAGTGCAGCGTCACAGGCCATCAATTTATGTTCACGCTTTTGAATCGGAACTGCAGTTCTGTTCGGTGCCAAAGGGAAAACTAACTTCTGCTCAAACTTTTCAGGGTGAACGTGAGCGCTTATTACAATCAATTGATAATAGACTTCATTCAAGAATTGCAGATGAGGGTTTGAGAGAGCACAGTAGTCAAAGTTGATCTCGGAGGGTGTAGAACTCCAGCTATTTTCGCATACTTCTGTTTCCTTAGAACAAGTTCCACATTTCCAGAAGCCGTAGGCATCTCTAACATGAGCCCACGCTGCACCATTTGCACATTTCAGTATAGAAAACTCGGACAACGAGCTAGCCAGGACTTCGATTTTTCCAATTTGTCCATGCTGTGTATGAAATGGATTACAGACTGTTTTAGCTCTGCAATGAGCTGGCATGTTTTCAGGACTGTATGGAAATTCACCCGAGTTCCACTTAAGATGCTTATCATATAGATCATGTAGGTACAGATTGTAACTCAAATTGTCCCTGAACTTCTTCGGACTAACCGATCCAGGAAAGTTCTTTGTATCTCTTATTTTTAAGCTCCCGCCTTGCATTGTATAAACGATGACCACATACGTAAGCATGCCTGCAGCAACTAAATTGACGCAGTTCACAATCACGTCAATGAGCTGCTTTTTGAGGAGGGCCGTATGGTACGACGAATCAACTTTCTGTAGTCCAAATTTCCACGGCATTGTATCTGAAAAATGTCATTTCCATACTTACTGACTCATTCGAGCATAACACAAATCAATGAAAAAGACCATTTATACACCATGTAACAATTACTTGAGGGAGCACTACATGATTAATTACAACTTCATGCGAATAAAAAAACTATTATGTGATCCTGAAACAATGCGTTGCAAAACAATGACATAAATTACATGAAAAGAGCTTTCTAATAATTACGTAACAGCAAAAAAAAACGTTAAAAAATTTTCTTCAAAAGTCAGGTCAAAAAACATCATGGTAACCGAAGTTATTAAACTAGACCTTGAGCAGCCGTGAGATAGTAGAAAAGAAAAAGACTTAATTCCAATTTGAGGAAGCATAAAAACAGAAATAAAAGAACATGAAAGTATTTGCTGGAAGATATGCTGATTTTGACGATTAGCTGTCTTATCTTTCAAAATGAGCGAACTGGGAAGGGTCAGTTTGGACTGACATGGATATTATTAATTTTTCGATTTGAGCGTGCATGACATAACAATATTTATTTTCGCATCAAGTATAGGAGCGAAAAACAGAACAGCGATTTTCGTGATAAAAATCAGACAGAGAAACGTACGACGAAGTCAGAAATTCGATTTTAATTTGTGACATTCGACCAGAATGGACAAAACGCAATTTCTTATTCCAATTTTTATCGGAACATCAGACCGAGATTGATGGTTTTAATCAATCGGAGGTCTTAATTGTGCATTCTGACGAACTCGGAAGGGTCAATTTGGATTTCCAAGTAAATTTTTAAAAATTCGAATTGGAAGTAAACGACACGTAACTGTAACATTCGCCCGGAAGATACATATCGACGGAAAATAAAGCTAGGTTCTAAGACGACTGGCCAACGTCTAAACAGAGCTCTACATGCTTTTCACCGTCTCTACCAAGCCAGTACTTTCGGTGGTCTTTCTAACATCGGGTCGAAAAAAAACGTTACTGCTTTCGGCTTCGGTCAAAACACTCAAATTAACTAGATTACATGCAGAAATAGTGAGCTCATGGCTGGGTCTGTATCCCCAGACCACGAGGTCACTCCTAAAATCAGGCCTACTACTATTTATTGAATTATTATTGTTTTTGCTCAGTAGATAAAAATCATCATCTCCATCGAAGATGGATCAACCCTTTCCCCCAACTCCTAGCTTCTCATTCTAGCAAAATGAATTCAGATGTTAATTAAATTCAATTCAGGACATAATAGGGAAGCCAAAAATTTGTATAAGATGATAAAAGTTCCAGTCCCGAGACCCCTCCGGATTCTCGAATCCGGGGTAATAAGACCTTTATCTTCCTCCCGGAAGGCTGCCTTCCACCCTTCACCTATGTTTGCAACGGCCTTGCAACTATTGTAGCGACACAATAGTTGCAACTCGGAACGGTCTCTGCTACTTCTGCAATTTGTTGTCGTTTTCCAATCACAATTCTCGTCGTTATCGCTATCGCAACTAATGTTGTTGTTGTTTCATTTCGGTTTTCTGCCAAAATGGTCGTTTCTGACGTTTCTCAGAAATATGACGTCATACTTCGAAAATTTAAAAATTAAAAATTTGAGTCACCAGAATATTCTAGCCTTCACCGCTTGACTAATCGTCCCAATAACGTTGTTAATCTCTTAAAACCGTCAATTCGGAAGGTTCTCTGCTAAAAACTCGAAATTGCTGCGTCTGTAATTTGGTGCATTCTGGTCGAATGTCACATACTCCCCGGACAGTCCGGTCAATGTCCTCATTGAATCTCGCAATGTTCGTAAAATTTGTGCCATTCTGCCAGATGGCACAGCGCAACCTTCCGACGAAGCACGAATCAGAGAGAAAAGGCCTTAACAGCAAAAAAGTGCTTGGAAGGAGGGTCGAAGTATTCTGAAATTTTCTATTTTTAAAATTTCGATTTTCAAGTTGATATTTCTCAGAAATACGAAAAACGGCCATTTTGACCAAGAAAGCTGAAAAAATCAGAACAACGACAAATATTGTGAAAAACAGTCGTGCAAGAGACGGAGAATACGAAGCCTCTTATCGTGGCAGCAACGCACGATAAGACCCTTATCAGCAGGTATTAGTGGAGAAGGAAGCTTCGGTGGGGAAGGAATATTCCACGGAACCCTCCCGGGACGCAAATTAGAAGAGATAAGAGCGTTATCACAGGAATATTACGGGAGCGGAGGCTTGGTCCCCCAGAGACTGTTTTATGTGAAGGGACTGTATAAAACTGACTGTGTAGCTACATGGATGTCGTGAAATTTTAAATTAACACCGGTATAGTTTGATATTTTAGAATATGAGTAGCTAGAAAAAGGAAAGGGTCAATCCATCTCCAATGGATTTAATATAGAACTGTCACACAAAAACATATTAAAATAGGTTGTTCGAGCCGTGTTTTTATTGACAATCACGTAGTCTGAGGATCCGAGACTCAGCTATGTGGTTGTGTTCGCATGTAAACGAAAGCTGATCAAAAGTCGTTTGACTGATGGCCTAAAAATGGTAATTTTTTACTTAGCCCTAGACAGACCAGAAAATTAACTGGCAAGGTCGAGACGGTGAAAAACGAGTAGGATTAAGGTAACTGACGCCTGCCAGTCGTTAATAGGTACTTTTTCTACGCTCCGTCGCTGGGTAGTATTTGGGCGAATGTTACATAGACGTTTTTATGGCGCTCCTGGGTGGGTATGTCAAAGGCATAAGACCATCATGATCAGCAAGCGTTTCAGCGACGAACCCTCCGCTCCGGGCGTAAGCCCGAGGTAGAGGCCTTAATGACCGTCGTTGTACTGGGGGGAAGGTGCGTACCCTCCGTCCAGTACTATTTAGCTTTTTAACTTAGTTAACACCGAAAATTCCGGGGGCTGGAGGGTTAGGTGGGAAATCTAGAGCCCAATTGTCCTGAGGTCCCAGGACCAAAAACAATTAAAGAGAAAGCGTAAAACCAAACAAAAATAGTGTATAACCAAGAAAAAGCCAAAAATAAATTTATTTGAAAACAAAAAAGTACAAAAAACAGTAAAAAAATCCAAAAAAGACCAAAAACAGTAAAAAACATAAAGTGACGGTTTATATGTTATTTCCGGACGAGATGTGATCTGACCTTCCTATTTGTTGTTGTTTCAGATTGATTTATATTGTTTCTGATAGAAAGATTGTGTGTTTTGGTGAAGGGTTGGATACCCTCCCTCGAGTGTAATTTGAGTGTTTAAGCACGTTAATGGTGATTTTGCCGGTGACCGGAGGGTAGAGTGGCAAGCTGATCAACGTGTTCCACACTCAACAGGGACATCAGGGACAACATCCGCAACGACTGTTGGGTATCGTTGAAGCAATTTTAGTATCGTTTGGGTACTATTTCATTAAAACTTAAGTGGTGGGGGGCACGATTGGCGCGGTCCGATTGTACCCTCCATCGATTACAAATTTCCAAGTTAAGGGTCCTAATTCGGGTATTTTGGTGCAAAAGAGGGTATAGTATTATTCATTAACGACTACTAATAGGTTATTATCCTTATTACATATTACTTATCTCCTCAATTAGACCCAAAAAACACCCAATTTTGTCGAAAATCATCCATTTTCGATCAAACTGTAGACCCCCAAATTTTTGGATATCCGAGCTTTTCCGACCATAATTTTGGTACCATAAGTCGACGTTTTGGACCACTTTTCCGGACCGCAACCGTTTTTGGGTTGATAATCTCGGAAAAGAAAAATTTTTAGAATTTGTTGGTTCGGAGGGTCCAAATTACAGGTAACCCTCCGAGCGGCGGAAAATTTTCTCAAAACACCTTTTTATCCAACTGGGAAGGTTGACCGTGTCAGCCAACCTAGTTTTAAGTCAGGTAGACCGCTTTTGGAGACTTTATTGCGGTAACATAAACTTTTTTCTTGATTTTTGGGGAACCCTCCGAGGTAACCCTCTGGAGTCAGCTAAGGTCCTTAGCAACCCTCCTTAGTGGAAAATTTCCACGAGGTTATCCAAAGAAGTTGAGACAGCCCTCCCATAGAGAATTAGGCTTGTTTTGACGCTTCCTGAAGTTAATTGGAGGCCCTTCTGAGTGAGGCTCAGAAATTTGAAAATTTTGGAGGTACCCTCCGAAGTAACCCTCCGGAGCATATTAAGCATCTTATTGACCCTCCTTAGTAAATTTAGGGGGACCCTCCGAAGTGACTTGGGTGATTAAGGTACCCTCCGAAGTAGGCTAAGTGTCTTAACAACCCTCCGAAGTAACCCTCCGGAGTGTCTTAAACCTTCTAAACAACCTTCCTTGTTAGAAACTTGAGGAAATCTTCCGTGGCGATTTGGGAAACGGAAAATATCCATTTAATCAAAATCATATTAGGATATTAGGCGCTTATTAGTATCATAAGAGCCCATTTTGAGCCGGAAATTCGTGATCAACTTTGGATTCTAGATCGGGTGTATCAGAAGTACCCGAACAAAAAATTTTTTTTTTTGATTTTGATTTTGGTTGTGCGGTTGCCTTGAGCTAATTAATAGGAAAGTTCGGGCAATCCGGGAACAAATAAAAGAAGACCTCGGTGAGTGTATTAGGCAAATACACACTCACTTGAGAAGAAACGTTGTTCCCTGCTTTCGTGCACTTGGAGCGTTCCGGGTGTGGGGGAGCTTTTTCATAGACTTTAGAAGTTTTCGATCAGAGGTTGCCTTGAGCCACTTGATAGGACAGCTCGGGCAATCGCGGGGCACCTAAAAGAAGACCTCGGTGGGTGTATTAGGCAAATACACACCCACTTGAGAAGACTGTGTCCTGGGCTTTGTTCTTTCGGATCGTTCCGATTGGGGGAAGTCTTTTTCTTTAAGACTAAGTTTTATTGATCTGTTTCTGAATCATCACTGCTTTTTATCAAAGATTGTTTAATTTTAACAAAGCAGTGACTTGATAAATTGTGTGGCGATAAATTGATACTGACAAAAGGTCGCTGTCACCTGTAGGATATTCTTATCTGATTATCTATTGT